GAATCTCTTCCCCAGAATCTTTTCTTTAAAAAAAAAAAAATCTATGACTGTAAATATAGTAAACACATTTACCTTTCAATCAATTCTTTTTACATGGCTAATGGTACTCTTTGGAGAGAAAAACCTCCAATGTTTAGATGAATATTTTAAAAGGGTTTTAAATGGGCTTTGGAGGAAAAGTCTCAGTACTTCATTTTTTTGGAAGACAACATGGACTTTCCCATATTATAAAGGAGATGATAATGTTTTGTCAGCTAAAAAGTTCTCCTATACAGCATGCTGCTTAGTTTAAGTATTGCTAGAAGCTTTTCAAATATCAGGACATCTTAAACAGGAAACACTCGAAGTATATTTAGGAACGTTTTATAGTATGTCAATTATCTCAAGCTCCTATATAATAAATAAGTTAAAAAATTAAAAGCAAACACAAGATTTTTTAAAAAGCAAACTTATTTGGTCAAAATAAGATGTGTGTGTGTAAACTTTAAAAAACACATCAGCGTAGAAAGCAATGGACATGTGTGCTTATCTTTCCTGGATGAGCCAAAGTCCAGCCATAAGCAGTAGGAAGGACAGAGGGAAAGAATACCTGGGCCTTATCTGAGCTGTGGCTGCAACTCCTGTGCTATCATTTGGGTGCCAAAATGACAAAGGTTCAGTCTGGTGAGTTTGTATTTTATTTTAAAATCTACGTTTTAATTGTAGGTCCCTGTCATTGAGATTGCATTTGGAAGTGGCAGGATCTCTGAGATTCAGACGGGGATGAGTTTGCTGGAATATTAATTCTGGAAAGGAGGTGTAGACATCATATTCATGAACTTGGGGTAGGTGGCTTTGGGTCAACGTAGTCTCTGAACCACATTCATTTCAAGATCCCTCATGCTGGGATAGAGTGGAAAAACAGCTCCAGGATGCCTGTCCCATAGCCCAGAAACGCCTCCCAATACACCCTCACTGTCCAGCACATGCTGGCATAAACACGTGACCCATGGCTTGTCCCTCTGATCTACATGTCGTGGCGGCCAGGAATAGGAAATCTTCATAGGGAAAACAGTTTCCTTTTAAACTTTAAAAAAAAGTTTACTTTTTCTCCTGGTTGATAAACTATTCCTTTTCACATTAAATAAAAACTAGAAGGGAAAACCTCCATCCTTTAGTATTTAAAACATGTGAGTCCGTTAATAATTTGAAGTCATGTTTTAAAGAGGCATTTCTTTACCTAAATCTCTATTTATAGCTCTCTGAAAGCTAAGAAAGCAATTAGCTACATTACAAGCTCTTAGGCAACGGAACTGGCTTTACTAATTATGTTTTCATTAACACCGTGTTATTTCACTCTCTTAGTGGGAGTTCTTCAAACATCCCTTTGGTTGGTAGAGTATATAGGTGTCTTCTATCCCATACTGCTTATTCATGACAACTTGTTAATTTCTTATCAAGGATGCCACACAATGGGAAAAAAAACTGTCATGAAGTAAAATTATGAATTTACATACAGGATTTGAGATTTAGCTGTGCTAAATGAAACCCAATAAAAATTAGGCATCACAATTTTAATGTAATGACATAGAACCTTGTATCTTTCTAGGTTTTCATTTTTCTTTAACATGGAGTTAGAAACATATGCCTCATAGGGCTACTGTGGAAACTAAAAATTTTAAAGAGAATACAGATTCAATCAGTAAATGATGAGCTTTAAAGATACTAAAATGACAGATGCTGCCAGACACGCTCATCTGCCCAAATGGTGTGAAGCATACTTAGAATCACTCTTTGATTTGCAGCTGCAGTCTGTGTATAGCCCATCTGTGGATTTATGGTGATACAGCATTGATCTTTGCTTTCTCTCTTTTGGGATGGATGAAACAGGCTAGGAGGGGCTCAGGATGGAGAGTTCTCAAGCCCTCCTCCAGCTAGGGTCTGGTCGGCCAACGCCCTTCTTGGTTAATCTCAGTGCTGCTAACCAACATCACCGCATCTCAGGGGTGTTGCTGGGATGGGGACAAGGGTGACAACAAGGTCACTGGTTCTTTGAAAGTTTTAGCAGGTGAAGGGGGAAGCCAGAATTGTGGTTGGTGGGCAGGAAAGAGAAGGAGGAAGTTGCATTTCAAGAGTAGATGATCCCTATTTTGTCCTCCAACTTAGCAACATGTATACACTTTTGATGTGCATCCTCTTCGAACCATCATCAATCGCTTCTAAAATTTTACCCAACAGATATAATTGTACAAAAATATGCAAAGATACACTTAAAGGATATTCACTGCTACATTATTTGAAATAGCAAATTATCAGCAGTCGTTTTAAAAAAAGAAGCAGATGTGTACTCGTGTGGAAAGACAACCAAGATATAATAGTAACTGAAAAACTAAATTACAGAGGACTATGTGTATATAATGCAGTTATTTTAATCTTAAAAAGGTGTACCAACATGCAGAATAGGGTGGGTAACTTCTGATCCATCAAAAGATAGGTCAAAGAGTGGGAAAGAAGACTTATTTTGTATATTTCTACACTATTTTAATTTTTTATGAGCTTATATTTAATTTCTAGTAAAAACCCAGTGTCCCCAATCTAAAACAATATTCTTGTGTAGAAAAGAGCTAACACGGCAGGCTTGCATCTGCTATCCTTAGAAAGGCTGCTTGAGCCCTGGTTGGTGTCTGGGAACTTGGATTTTCACCAAGGTTTTCACCATTCCCTGATAAGAACTGTTCATTGTGCCTAAAGTTCAGATAAGCAATATAGTTTATGTTGAGGATCTGCTTTCCTTCTGGGTGTTTGGAATTTTGGTTTGTGCTAGGCTAAGGGTGCCTATATAATCAACCCCAAATAAAAACCCTGGCCGCCTGGGCTCAGGTGACCTTCCCTGGTACGCATTTCAAAAGAACTGTTATGACTTGCCTCCTGGGGGAATTATGTGCATCTTGTATGACTCTAGGGGGAAGGGATTCTTAGAAGCTTGGGCCCGGTCTCCCACAGCATCCCATGCACCCCTCCCTTTGCTGAGTTTGCTGTTTACCTTTTTGCTGTAACAAATCATAGCCATAACTACATGCTGAGCTCTGTGAGTCTTCCTAGCCGATAGTTGAACCTGGGGGTGGTCTTGGGGGCCTTCTCATTCTCTTCCATAGCACCTTCTTCTTGACCTTCTTAGCATTACTACAATTTGTAATTAAACTGTGCGTCTTTTCCACTAAGTACCATGAGATTAACTACATGTGTTGGTTACTGCTCTATACTACACAAATATTCAATGAAGTTGTTAAATAAAAATAAGGGAAAAGGAGCTCAGCTACTAATAAAAGAGAACCTGCTGGAGAGTGAGTGTAACAGCGTTTTACTGGCACCACTCCTTTTTAGATTCTGGAACCCCTGAGAGTTACTCAAATTAAGATGCTCAGAAATCAATACTCAGACTCTGTATTTAATGAAAAGTATCCAACTCTCTTTCCTCCACCCCTCATTTCTGCTCCTAATCTTAAAGAAGAAACTTTTACGAAGACAAGAGAGTTTCCTGACCCTATAGGTTGTCACAGGCCTACAGGCATCGTAAGAGACCATCATGAGGAAGGGGCTCCCGGTGCTCAGACTACTTCCATCTACTCTCTTTCCCTGTGCCTTGGGGCTCCTCCTCTATGCCACCACCCCCATGAAAAATGGAAACAGTCACATTAACCACCACAGACTGGAGACCGAAAAATGTGGGGAGCTGCAAGGTCAATCTTGTGTTGAACTCCAAAGTGATATTCACTTTTACCCACAGCCAATTTGTCTCAGTGATGACTAAATCTCTGATGTTCCAGATATCCAGAGATCACACGGGGCAGGGGTCTGGTCTTGGCAGTCTGCATGCTGCTACTGACTCAAATCCTCCCTAAACCCCTCGCCACGTGATGTAAAGGGTTTACTCGGCTTTACGTCCTGGTTCCATTTTGCCGGGTGTATTTTCTCCATTCTATCATCTCACCCTATTGCATTCATCTAAAGCTTATCACAAAGAGAAATTAATCTGCCATTTCTACAGTGTTATCAGGCCCCTGCAGTGGGTTCGGTATCATGTGGCCTGGGAGAAAGCCTCCTAAACCCTGGAAAGTTTTTTTCCCCCTGGGTTTCCTCTGCAGGGCTAAAGCCAGCAACAGCATCTGCATCAGAGTCAGCTTTTAGAATGCCAGCGCACACACTTCCCTGACTGCACCGCCCCCTCCCAGCTCCTTCTCTCCTTTCACAGTTACCTGTGTATATCTTCATAAGCCCACTCACAGCCCATTAGAAGGGGAACAACTAGAGGGTAGACTCTGTCTTGCTCATCTTTGTGATCAAATGGTGTGTTTAGGGCAGTGCCTTACAAAGTAGGTGCTTAAATAAAGATACGTTTGGGTGAATTGGTGCCTTGTTTCCTCTACCTGTAGAATGGACACAATATATGCTATCTTATTCCTATGCTTGGAAATAACTGAAATTCTGGTACTAACAGAGAAAGAATCTAAAGTAGTGGATTTAAGTGTTCCTGAAATCCCACCTTCTGTTCCATTACGTTTCTGCTTAGAGAGAGGTTCTATTGACTGCTCAACAAATTATATGCAGATACTAGATGCGAAGGGGTTTAAATAATCTTACATCTGTAGACAGGAGACGAAGGAAAGATGACATGATGGACACCAGCTACATTTCCATCACTGCGCTCACTGCCATATCTCTTCCTGTCACCTCCCATGCTCCCCTATCCCCTCCATTAGCAGGCGTCTTTCCCAGTTCTCTCCCCTAACCCCTATGCTCCTTGCTTTCGTACCTGCCTCAGGCAATACGAAAGTGTTTTCAGATGAGATCGAGCATGTTCACAGTGGTATAGTGTTCAAGTGTTTTCATACTGAGATGACCAACAAACCCCTTTGCCTCCTCCCTGCCCAGCATCTCTGTGATGGGGCAGCATCACCACTCCCTGCCCAGCACTGGCCGTAGGCACTCCTGCTCCACTCCCCACTTCTGACACTCTTTACCTTGCTGGCCTTCAGGATATTGATCTGCTCTTCATACACCGTGTCTCTGTTTTTCTCCAGAAAACCATCAGAGAGGTACTCCACCTGGGGCCACAGCAAGCAGACAGAGAAACAATCGTTAGTGCTTCAGCCTGACTGGGTTCCTTCAGCAGTTTCTCAACTACTTTCATCTCATCCACGTAGCATTTTCTGAAAAGAGCTGTGAGTAGATACAAAACCCACAGATGTTTCCATTTAAGATTCAAACCCAGTAAGTGGTCAGGATTTACATAGAGGGAACTGAGTATTCACACTGTGGAAGAAATTGTATTAAAGGGAGCTCCCAAAATAAAAGGCTTCTTTAGGGCTCATAAATGCAGCTTCTCAGCCATACCGCAGATCCAATGAATCGATCTGTATTTTAACAAGACCCTAGGTGATTTATACACAGATTACAATTTGAGAAACACCAGGCTAGTGCATGGCAAACAAAAATCCACTTAGAAAAATTCTGTGCATGCACCAGCTGAGAAAGCAGCCCCCCGAGGAGTAGCCACACTGGCTCCAGGTAAGAAGCCAAACCACTTGGTACTGTGTTTTCATCCCTCCCTTCTCGCTCAAACTCCATGAGGGTAGACTCTTAACTGCTTTAGAATATAACTTATATATGTGTGATTGGACAACTATGGCACCCCCTGTGAAGTTATGCCACGTGGTAAGCTTGACATCCCCAAGAAGTGGAGGGGTGGGTAAGAGAGGATGGAAGGGGAACCTAGCTGAGGCTTCAGGCCATTTGAATTCAGAAGGGACAGCCCTCTCTCTAGGTTCCGAGCCCCTGGAGTCTACTTAGAGAGGGGCCAAAAGACTACCCAAGCCAACAGAGAGGAGAGCCACCTTGTCTGCAAAGTGGATGACGATGAAGGCCGTGTTGGACATGCGGGGCTTCTGGAAGTGCTGGCTGCTGGAGTGCCGGTCATAGAGCTTCTGAGCCCAGTTCTGGTCAGTTCCTTTGGGGACCTGCAGAACCATGAGACAGGGCAAAGTGCTTTGTGAAGAGGAAGAAGCCAGCCCTGGGTTGCAGCAGAGGGAGGAGATCAGTAGGCCGGCTCCATGAAAGTGGATTCGGCCCTCAAACTGGGACCTTAACTGGATGGTGGAAAGAACAATTCAACCATACACGTTCAAGACCCTGATACAGTGTGCCCTCCACCTGCCATTGGCTCCTGTGGGGCCTGTGGGGCCTGTGGGAGCAGCTGAGCCTGCTGGTTGGCAGATACTGGAAGTGCTAGGGAGGATGAGGGTGAAAACCCAGGTCACAGGAGCAGAGTCCCAGCCCGAGGGACCACCTAAAGGTACTTCCCTGCAATTGGGGCAGTGATATCAGCATCACAAATACATCAAGCTCACCCACTCACCCAGGTGGACTCCTGCCACAGGAAAGCCCATCTTCCTTCCCTAAACTCACCTAAATACCATCATGTGGGTCTGGCTCAAGTCCGTCCTTTCCTGACCACTGCTGATCTCACTTCTCTCTTCTTTGGAATTCCTCACAATCAGGCTCTTACACATACCCTAGCATAATGTGCACCACTGAGTTTTGGGGATCGTCACTACAAGCTCTAAGTTTGTTGTGTTCAAGGACTGACTGTCCCTTACATTGTTTATGCGACCCTGAAAGAACTGAGAACTGGGCTCTGGCCACGCAGTGGGAAGTGAGTAGTGAATGATCTACATGGTGCTCATCTCTGCATCTGCCACTGTCTAAAGTCAGACTTAGAGGTTCCACTGCATTAAGAATCCTGAAGGCAGCCCCTTTAAATATCTTTATGAATGGCTTTGAAAGAAAAAAGCATCTTGCTTCATTGACAATATAACAGTCACTATAACCACCACTCAGATTACCAAGGATGACAGCAACTCTTCCAATGGGAAGGTGCTCCCTCCTCCCACCTCTGTCATCCCTGGTCATCGCTGCACACACCTACTGACCAGAATCAGTCCAGTCCTCAGTGACAGGTCACTAACTGGTCTGCCCTTCTTTGGTTTAGACTGCACGTTTGGATCAGGCAGGGTTGAAGGTGACCCTTGCACTAGCCATTTACAGAGGAATTTTTATGGTAAACTAATAAAATTCATGCCATAAAGAAAATGCTTATGTACTTGGGAACCAACTTCTTAAATCCTTTGTAAGCAAACTGATTTTGCTCAAGATTCATTTTGGCATAACTAATATTGAATACTCAGTACTAAGCACCATAGGCAATTCAAGAAAAGAAAACTATCTTGAAGGAGGCTATTAATTGTACTGGGCAGACAATAAAATATATTTAATTCAGCAGTTTCTATATATACTGCTTTATATTTGTCTCCAAGCATTCTGTGTTTAGAACCACCAGGTGTGAAGGAAGGAGGGGTCTTCCCAGTATGGCTGTCAGGACCCTGTGGGCCCGAGGACAGGTGCAAGAGGGACCCTGAGGGAATGGCAGAACTGGGGCAGACAGATATGGTGAGAAGCCCCACAAAAGCAAACACGTAAAATTGGCTAGGAACAAAATCATCTTGCCTTGAAGATGAAACTGGACTTCTGTAAGAAGACTCCATAATCCGACATATTCATTAATTCAGACTGATGTGAATTAATAAGCAGTGAAAACCAACAACCAAGGTCAAGTGTATACATATTTTCTGACACGGATCAATCTCCTTTCACTGCCCACCCCACCTCCAACCAAACGTAAGGGAGGGCCAGCAGGAATTAACAACAACCCGGAGTCTCAGATGATACTCACAGCTAGTGCCCACGGCACATATTCTTTGCCAGGCCATTTTCTACACATTTTATATATATCAACTCATTTAACCTTTGTACAATCATGTCAGTTAGGTGCTATGTTTGTAAAAATTTTAGAGATGAGGAGATTGAGACAGAGAGGTTAAGTAGCTTGCCAAGTTCACATGAAGGGGAAGCATTAGGTTAGTGCAAAAGTAATTGTGGTTTTTGCCATTAAATAGCAGAGCTGGGATTCCAAGCAGGACAGGTTAACTCTTCCTGCCTGACAACAGAGTTTTAAAGGCTGCCACAAAAGCAGAACCGGGTAGAAGGTGCTTATCTCCAAAAATATTTCCACAGAAGTAGATTTTAAACAGCTACAGGAGAAAGAAAAAAAATCTTATATTTTGATAACTTCTGGGTCATGGATATCAGTAGCTCCATAAGATGCAGTTGAATTGAATCCTTTAAAAGGGAAATCCAGTTTGTAGATGACAGGGGGATGGAGGCGGCAAACCACCATGGCATGTGTGTACCTATGCAACAATCCTGCAAGATCTGCACATGTACTCCAGAACTTAAAGTATAATTAAAAAAAAAAAGGAAATCCGCATACAGCTTCATATGAACTTCTCTCTGCTCTTCTCAAAGCAATGCAGAGAGACCTCTGAGCCAGGAGCTAGGGCTCCAGCTCGGTCCTCACGTAGGCACTTCTGTCCCTCAGAGGCCTAAATCCCTCTGACCTTGTGGTGCTGGCCACTGATACATCAAAAAGCAAAGTTCCTATCTGTATTAAATGCCCAGAATAGGCAAATCCATACAGAAAGAAAGGTTAGTGGTTGCGCAGGGCTGGAGGGGACCATGGGGAGCACTGAAGGGCTTTTTTACAGGGTGATGAAAATGTTCTAAAATTGTGGTTGGGATGGATGCACAACTTTGTGAACATACTAAAAAATCACTGAATTGTATACTTTAAATGGGTGAATTGTATGGTATGTCAATTATATCTCATTAAAGCTGTTAGAAATACATTAAACCTGACTCCACTCCTTGCCAGTAAAATAACAACAGCAAAAAGAGCAGGCATTGTAGCAGAGAAGTGTAGACGGGCTCCCTAAGCCCGTCTCAGCATTCTCTGTGGAACTCTAAACAGAAGCTGTAATCTAAGTCACAGATGTTACCATCATGGCCTGGGACATCTTCTGAGGCTAAAGCCTGCCTCCAACAATGCTGCTGACAGGAGCTGACTGTTAAGGACCCCAAGGCCAGCCAGTCACAATGGCTCACGCCTGTAATCCCAGCACTTTGGGAGGCCAAGGTGGGAGGATGGCTTGAGCCCAAGAGTTCAAGACCAGCCTGGGCAACAATATAAGGAGACCTTGTCTCTACAGAAAATGCAGAAATTAGCCAGGCACTGTGGCACTTGCCTGCAGCCCCAGCTAATGGGGAGACTAAAGCAGGAGGGTCACTTCAGCCTGGTAGGTCAGGGCCACAGTGAGAGCTGTGATGACACCACTGTACTCCAGCCTGGGTGACAGAACAAGACACTGTCGCAAAAAACAAAACAACAACAAAAAACAGATCCCAAGCCCAGTTACTCTATGTCTGCTTCTTTTCTCGTTCCTGTTTCCCTGGGCCACTGGCACCAACCTTCCTGGCCACTCACTGTCTCCTTCCATTCCACACCAATGCAGGCTCCCTCATGCCTTCTACTGCTGCTGACCTCTCAAATTGCTGCACCATAAGTACCTCTGGATCCCCAGGCTCTTTAAGGAGTACGCTCTGGCCCCGCCCCTCTTTGCCATCACAGAAGCCTAGCTGGGCCTCCCAGGACTCTGCCTCTCACTCTCCTGGAATGGAGGCAGCTCCTTCCTCCTCACCTGCCAGCCACACCCAGTGTTGCTTCCAGGCCTTTATACTTCACCTTTACAAAATACCCTCTGCACGCCCAGGAAAACATCAATTTGAGATGAATCCAACTACCCATTCTCTCCTTCCCCGTACCTAGGTGGTTGGATAAGACCACCCATCAACTCATCTTCCTGTAACCAAGCCCTGCCAATATACTTTGTATAATACAGTACTGCAGCCAACAAAAAAAAACTGAATTTCACTCACAGAATCGCTTCTATGGATTAAGACATTATTCCTAGGTCTAAGCAGGAGGTTGACCTCAACAACTCCTAAAACTCAATTTATGGTCTCTGACCTCAGCAAACCAATCTGTGCACTCTCCAATTTCTCTTTCTGTTTACTGGGCAGCCATCCCCACCTTCTTCCATTCTCTTCAAGCTTCTGACCCTACCGCCTCTCAGCAGATGCCTCATCTCCTTCACGGGGGAAATAGAGGCTGTCAAGCAGGAAATCCCAAATTCCTGCTCTAACATGCAGAAACTTTCATCTGCACCCATGGCCATCCCTCCTTTCTGTCCTTCTCATGGGATCCACCCCTGCCTTCTGGGGGACTGTAGTCCACCCACGCCCATGCTTCTCTCTCGCGCCGCCTCCTGTTCACAGCCAAGCCTCCGAAAGTTCAAACTCACTGTCTCCGCTGCCTCACTTCCTGCTCCTCTCAAATTACCGAAATTAGGCTCCTGCCCCCACAACTCCCTTGGAAGGAAGTGCTCCACTCCAGGAATGGAGACCCTTTTGCTGCTGAGCTCCTGGAAGCCCTGGTTCCCTCCTGCCTGGCCTCACAGTGCCGCCCCTTCCAGGCTCTCCCCAGCTCAGCTTGCACACAGTCTGGGAGACCTGCTGATCTGATCATTCACATCTGACCCTCTCTCCCCTGCTTTTCCCCCATAGGCTGATCCCCAGAGCCTTCAGGGTAAAGCCCAAATGCCTGCTCTGGGTGGACATGGCCTCTCATTCTCCCATGATCTCTACTTTCCAACCTCACCTGCCCCACCAGGAGTTCCAGATAAATCAGATCACTTCAAGTTCTCCAAGTGTGACGTTCCCTTCACGTGGAATGCCCCTCCTCATCTGACTTTTCTTGGGAATGCTCTCCCCACAACACTCTTTCTTCTGTCATTTCCTCCACAGCATGTCTGGTTCTTTGTTATCATAGATGATACTTCAGTGCCTGCTTTTGACACTTGACCCTTTCAAGGTGTGCAGGGGCTCAGTGCACTATTCTGTGGACATGTGGCTTCCCATGTGAATGAAGAGATGGACGTGGGAAGGGTACTTCACTTCCCTCCATCGCAGGAATCACACCTCGACATGCAAGTGCCAGACAAGGGAAACTTTGGGGCTACTTCTTAAGAAACCACCATCTGAATACAGAGTAAACCCTCCTGACAGCAGGCTGGGCCAGGTGAGGAAACAGGGGGCAGGTGACATTGGCCTCCTCACTGAGTGAGCTGATCTCACTCCACAGTCCTGAGTGATTTCCTCCCTTCCAGGAAACAAAGAATCCTCATCACAGGGCACAGGGCAGAGCTTGCCACCCCACTCAGGCCCGCTGTTGAGTGCTCCAACGTCTCCAACCTGAGATAGCTCCTGGGCTTCATTTACTAGCATTGCTTCCAGGGTTCAAGGTTTCTTGTTCCTCTGTGAGAAAGGGGGACTGATGAGTGGGAAGAGGTCAGCAGGAACTACCAACCCAAATAGGGCTTAGAAGGCAGCAGGGGCTGGTGTGCACCCAGTCCCCACCGGCCACCAGGCATCTTTGGAGAGTCTTGTTAAGAGCAGCCTGGAAATTAACATTTCTGACAATCAAACACCTTCTTGGAGGAGTGGGCTTGGATAACTTAGGAACAATTGTAGTTTGTGGCTTGTTTGGGGCCTGTCTGCAAAGAGGTTTTTCCACCTCAGGTGGTTTAATATCCTGGTCCAGTCTGCACTCTCCTCTGCAGCCGTGGCACCAGTCACAGGCCCTGCAGAGCACTCCCAGCATGCTGCCCCTCTAAACCCACAGCCACGCCATCTCCACACTTCTCACTTAAACCCCAGCTCACTGTTCTGCCTGTCACTGCACAGCTTCTCCATGAAAAGTGATTTTTCCGCTGGCTGCTTCTGCACCATGAGTCCAATCCTTCATGTGACTGTGTCCTGTCACATGGGGTCACAGAGCCCAACTGTTCATAGTGCAATCTCTATTCATTCTCAGCCTGCAATCTCTATTTGTTCTCTCCCTGTAACCGAGAGACAGAGAGGAAATGACGTGTCCGAGGCTGCTTCCACAGCCCAACAGGATCCCTCCCAAGGGGCACCAAGTTGCCCAGTCATGGCAACTCCAGGGAGACTCCCAAATCTGCTCAGGCTCAGAGCCACGGGTGCTTCCAGGCCCCCCTATGTTTTAAAGTCAGGTCTACTGCAGAATAATTTCCATGCAGTAAAATGTACTCTTTCACTGAGGCATACAGTTCAACGAGTTTTGACAAATGAAATACCTGTTGGCTTAAAATTCACCTGTGACTGATGCTCTGTCAGATTATACCAAATCATCCTGAATTCCCAGAGCAATTAAACCTGGTACAAAAAGTCTCCACATCATGGGATTTTGTGTTCTTCCTTAACGTGGTGTTCATCTCATCTCCTCTGCCACCAGCATGAGTTTACACGTGTCACATGCGCAGTACCACCCAGTGTCTTTACATGCCCAGCCCCCACCAAACGGATTTGCAGGACATCAAGGCTTTCCACAAACCTGTGTAGGACAAACTGCCTACTCCTGTGCCCTGAGAACTGTATGTGACATTCACCTTCACCACTTGGGAGGAGAGTGAAAAGCCAGGGTTCTTGAGCACTGGCCTGTGGGAAGCCACACCAGTTTAGCATCCCAGAGGCCAGAGCTGGACACAGGACATGGTGCTGCCTTTAGTTTTGGGAGTGTGGAGCTGGAGGAGGCAGTTACTGATGGGAATCTCAAAACAGACTGGGGAAGAGGAGCATGATCTTTGCTGAGTTTGGGAAGGGAGGTGGTGGCAGTGGATGCCGAACCCCAGAAAATAAAAATGAGTCATGAACAGCAGGATGGCCTAGGCTGTGGCTTCAGCCATTCAGCCAATGCCACTCAATCTAGGGACAACTGTTTTACCTTTACTGCTACCTCTCAGGTTGGGCAAGCCTGGACCAACATGCCACACTGAGAGATTATCTCTGCCTGGATACTGACTCTGAGAATGAAGTCTACATCTCTAGTGAAATGCTAAAAACCTTCAGAAGGTAAAAAGATGTGCAAGCTGTAGAATTGGTATATTTTCTCTGTCTTCTGTTTTATTGTTTCCCTTTCATTTTCAAAGGCAATGAAACCAGGAGAGCCCTTCTGGAAGGAAATACCTCCTACCAAACCAACCAGCTGCACTTAACCCTTTACAGGCAAGATGTGGGAGAGCAGAAAGTAAAGGCAAGTGGGTTCTTTCCCTTGTAATAGCAAATGTCATGAGACTTTCATATCTGTTAATTAGAGTTTCCATCCTTAGAGGAACTGATATATATATATATATCCTTGTAGCAACCAACCACCCAACTAGGAGAGATTCCTCTAAACCTTACCCTCCCACTGCTGCCAGGCACTCTCCAGGCTGACAAGTCAGCTCCCCTCCTGTCCCACCAGGTACAGCCCATCAGAAACCAGATGGGGAAATCTATGAATCTCACCTGCCACCATGCCATGCAGCTCTATCACTCACAAGCCATCTAATGTGGCAATAACGATCCCAGACTTGAGTTGTCACTCTCTAGGGATGCTCATTAGATGTTGCCGTTCTCCTCTTGGCACCTAGGCTACCTGGGACATCAAGTCCAAACCACCATATCGTGCCAACCCATGCCACCCAGGCTTCCCCAAGAGAGGCACATGTTTACCAGTGTAGCAACACCTGCCAATCATGTTAAACATGCTGCATTCTAGCATGCAGAATGGTACATGCTTCTAGTATGCAGCATGCCAATGCTTCTTCCAGTATACTAAAGGCCAGCTGATCACAGACGAAATTCAACCTTTGAAATCTTTCGCGATTCCCTTGTATTCCCTGTGTTTGGGACACAGCTTCCCTCTGCCCCATACCCCTACTCTTGAACTAATTCACATCAACAGTTTTACCTTACATTCTTCATCCAACAGGTCCAAGATACCCAGCTTGGCTTCAATGAGGTCGATGCAAGGTTGGTTATCATAAAAATCAATCAGAGTCCAAGGGATCTGCTCCTTCATGTATTCTTCTTGCTCTAGTTTGAACACATGCTAGGACAAGTAAAAAGATCACACGAGTGAACTGCAGGCAGACCTTAACATTCACCTCCCCCAGGGGCTCAGTGAGTTCTGCATCCTACAGCACAGCAGAAAACTGCCAGAAAAGGTTTGGATGCTAAGTCATAGTCATGACTGCAGAAAAGCAAAGCACAGTCAGGCAATTCCTCATTGCTGGGTGAACACTTCCCGGGGCACTTAATCACCTGAGTTGCTGTATACCCAAATAATCACAGGAAGCCCCATATCTGTCTTGCTGTTGCTTCAATGCCCTGGAAACCTAGGCTCAGAGGAATGGGAGTCAAAGCCAAAGAGAATCATTTCCCCTCTCAGCACAGCTGTCCCCATTCAGTTCTCCCTCTTGAGCAGTGGAGAGCCTCTTCCCAAAGCTGGAGGAAACCAGGGGATGTCAGAAAACAGCCAGGGCCCACCCACCTCAGAGGAAGAGAAGTGACCTTGCTGTCCCTCCCAGAAGAGTCTCCCCCATCCCAGTACCCCAAGGTCTGGAAACCAAGCCTACCGAGTTGAACTGCTGCTGGAGCTTTTCATTTGCATAGTTGATACAGAACTGCTCAAAGCTGTTCACCTCAAATGTCTCAAACCTATAGAATGGAAAAAGTAGACAAGAGACATCTCCTTTCACCAAAGGAGTCACTGGGCCTTCAACAAAGCTACTCTCACCCAAGTCTCCCCTGACGCCACCACGAAATCCCTGTTGTCTAATCTGGTGTTCAGAGACCACTGTAACAGATGTTAGCACTACACAGAGCCTAACTGAAGAACACATTTATTTTCATAACTAGAAAAAGTATAGATAGCAGGAAAATTTTGAAAAAGAGAAAGTTTGAAAAAGAAAGTCAGCAATGAATCATTCTATTATTCATACTGACTACCAGTCATATCTTGGTGGATTTCTTTTAGGAGTTTTACATTTTTGAAAAGAGTCAGAACTATATAACGTTTTACTTTTTTTCTTGAGACAGGGTCTCAGTCTGTCACCCAGGCTGGAGTGTTGGATCTTGGCTCACTGCAACCTCCGCTTCCCGGGCTCAAGGGATTCTCCCGCCTCAACCTCCCAAGTAGCTGGGACTACAGGCATCATGCCACTGTGCCAAGCTAATTTTTATATTTTTTGTAGAGATGAGGTTTCACCATGTTGCCCAAGCTGGTCTCGAACTCTGGGGCTCAAGTGATCCACCCACCTCAGCCTCCCAAAGCACTAGGATTACAGGCGTGATCCACTGCACCTGGCCTTACCTTCTATTATTATCATTTAACATTCCATTAAAAACACTTCCCCACACCATTGTTCTGAAGGCATCAGTTTTAACATCTGCCTCATCAACCACTGTATGGATCCGGGCCATGGTGTAGACCTGGAAATTGCAAAGGTGCCCAGGTGAGGGGACAGGTGTTGCTGAAATTGAGTTGGCCCCCTCACAAGCACCTTTTTCTCAATTCACACAGGTGCCCATGAGCTGGCAGTCACCCTCATAGAGATGCATCATCATTGAACTGCCCCCACTGAGGACATTTTGCTTTTCTCAGTTGTTAGCTGCTATCGATTTGTGATAAATTCTTTGAATTAATAAGTCTTTTCTTAGGATGCTATCCTAGAAAAATTACCACGTCAAACAGTACCACTTTTCTTAAAAGGCAGAAGAAAATTAACTCCTGGAACGGTGGAACTAATGTATGACACTACCTCCACCTCACAATGTACAAAAGTGTCTTGTTCTTCCAATACTGGTCGACAGTATTTTGTTTTAATCATCTTTATCGGGTTAGCATTTACACACAGTAAAATGCACCAATTTTAAGTGTGTATTTTCATGCATTTTTCTTTAAAGTTTTTCTCAACATCTGTTGATGGGGTGATGCATTTTTGATAGAAAATTTTTATATAGTGATGTTCTGTGATACATGACACAGACGGAGGACATTTTCATCACCTGGAAAATTTCCCCCGTGCTCCATTCGGGTCAGCCTCAAGTGTTCTCCCCATCTCGTCCTGCCCTCTTCACTGGGAGACTGGGAATATTAATGTATCACAGCTCTTTGATAAGCCTCAAGTGTTCTCCCCATCTCGTCCTGCCCTCTTCACTGGGAGACTGGGAATATTAATGTATCACAGCTCTTTGGTCAACTGTGTCATATTAGCTTTTTGGTGTCTTTGGTTCCTTGGAACCTAAAAATGTCTGAATTTTAATTTCTTTGATCATTACTACAGCTTAACATTTTTCTGACTCCATGAATCATCTGATGCTTGGTTAATTTTGTTGGGGTTTAACTTTAACAACTGACTTACTTGAGCGCTTTGCATTTTAGAATATCAACACTATCATTCATTGCTCACTCCAATGTTCACAGTATGGCCCAATCTTTGGGCAGGGGACGGTGGAACCAGCAGAGGGGAGGATGGGGGCATGACATGCAGCATATGGGCAGAGGCAGGGGTCCTCCTCACAGGCCATGCAGGCTACACTAAGGGGTCTGGAATTTACTAGGCAGCAGCAGAGAGATTCTGAAGGATGCTGAGTGAGTTAAGAACTGACAACCTGACCTGCACCTTAGAGACCAGCAGGAGAACAACTTGGGGCAGAAAGCCAAGTGAGGTAATTCTTTTTTTTTTTTTTTTTGAGACGGAGTTTTGCTCTTGTTACCCAGGCTGGAGTGCAATGGCGCGATCTCAGCTCACCGCAACCTCCACCTCCTGGGTTCAGGCAATTCTCCTGCCTCAGCCTCCTGAGTAGCTGGGATTACAGGCACGCGCCAACATGCCCAGCTCATTTTTTGTATTTTTAGTAGAGACGGGGTTTCACCATGTTGACCAGGATGGTCTCGATCTCTTGACCTTGTGATCCTCCCGCCTCGGCCTCCCAAAATGCTGGGATTACAGGCTTGAGCCACCTCGCCCAACTGTGAGGTAATTCTTAACTGTAACAGGAAACCAGGCAAGATTCAGTCAGGGCCCAATGAGTGTGGCTGGTGGCTAACCAGTAGAAAGCTTCTGGACATTAAGGAAGATGGGGATGAGAGGGCCTTAAATGACCAACTGGATGTGCAGATAAGACCCAGGCAACAGGATGGATTTGGTCACACTCACCATGCTGGCAACATTACACAGGTCGGCAGCTATAGCTACAAATGTGGGTGGCCCACCTTATACACTCAACAGCAGCAGCATCAGGCTGAGGGGTGAGAAGGACAGAAGCCTATGGAGAAGAGAAGAACATTTTCCACCTCTTCCCATTCACACATACACCTCTTCCCATTCACACACACACCTCTTCCCATTCACACACACACACACACGCACACACCTCTTCCCATTCACACACACACCCTTCCCATTCACACACACCCCCCTCTTCCCATTCACACACACACACCCCTCTTCCCATTCACACACACACCCTTCCCATTCACACACACCCCTCTTCTCATTCACACACACACCTCTTCCCATTCACACATACACCTCTTACCATTCACACACACACCCTTCTCATTCACACGCACACACTCTTCTCATTCACACACACCTCTTCCCATTCACACACACCTCTTCTTATTCACACATATCTCTTCCCATTCACACACACACACCCCCTTCTCATTCACACACACTCTTCCCATTCACACATAGACCCTTCCTATTCACATACACACCTCTTCCTATTCACACACATGCACCCTTCTCATTCACACACACACACCCTTCTCATTCACACACACACCTCTTCCCATTCACATACACACACCTCTTCTCATTCACACATATCTCTTCCCATTCACACACACTCTTCCCATTCACACACAGACCCTTCCTATTCACATACACACCTCTTCCTATTCACACACACGCACCCTTCTCATTCACACACACACCCTTCTCATTCACACACACACACCTCTTCCCATTCACACACACACAAACACCCTTCTCATTCACACACACACACCTCTTCCCATTCACACACACACTTCTCATTCACACACACACCTCTTCCCATTCATACACACACACCCTTCTCATTCACACACACACACACCTCTTCCCATTCACACACACACACCCTTCTCATACACACACTACTTCCCATTCACACACACACATACACCTCTTCCCATTCACACACACACCCTTCTCATTCACACACACACCTCTTCCCATTCACACACCTCTTCCCATTCACACACACACACACCCTTCCCATTCACACACACTTCCCATTCACAAAGACACACACCCTTCCCATTAACACACACCTCTTCCCGTTCACACACACACTTTTCATTCACACCTCTTCCCATTCACACACACACACACACCCTTCTCATTCACACATAACCCCTCATTCAGACACACACATCCACTTCTCAATCACACACACACATGCTTCTCATTCACACATACACCTCTTCCCATTCACACAACCTCTTCCCATTTACACACACACACACCCTTCTCCTTCACACACACACCCTTCTCATTCACACACCCATAACCCTTTCTCATTCACACACACACATCCACTTCCCATTCACACACACCTCTTCTCATTCACACATACGTCTTTCCATTCACACAAACACACCTCGGCATTCACACACACCCCTTCCCATTCACACACACCTCTTATTGACACACACACACCTCTTCTCATTCACACACACCTCTTCCCATTCACACACACCTCTTCCCATTCACACACACCTCTTCCTGCTCATACACACACAAATCCTTCTCAAACACACCTCTTCTCACACACACACCTCTTCCCATTCTCACATGCACACCTCTTCCCATTCACACCCACACCCCTCTTCCCATTCACACACCTCTTGCCATTCACACACACACATGTTCTCATTCACACAAACACACCTCTTCCCATTCACTCACACACACCTCTTCCCATTCACACACACACATCCTTTTCATTCACACACACACCTCTTCCAATTCACACCTCTTGATTTACACACATACCTCTTCCAACGTGCACACACACCCCCTTCTCATTCACACACACCTCTTCCCATTCACACACACACACCCCTTTTCCCATTCGCACACACGTCTTCCTATTCACACACACATCTTCTCATTCAAATACACCTCTTGTCATTTACACACCTCTTCCCATTCACACACACCTCTTCTGATCACACACACTCTTTGCATTCACACACACACCCTTCTTCCCATTCACACACATACCCCTCTTCCCATTCACACACACACCTCTTCTCATTTGCACACACACCTTTTCTCATTCACACACACATTGTTCCCATTCACACACACCCCTCTTCCCATTGACACAGACACACCCTTCTCATTCACACACACCTCTTCTCATTTACACACACACCCTTCTCATTCACACATTCACACACTCTTCCCATTCACATACACACGTCTTCCCATTCACACACACACCCTTCTCATTCACATACACACCTCTTCCTATTCACACACACATCCCCTCTTCCCTTTCGCACACATACACCTCTTCCTATTCACACACACATCTCATTCACACACACACACATCTTCCCATTCACACACATACATCCTCCCATTCACAGAAAC